TATGGTATTCTCTTATAGCTCCACAAAACAAACTAAGACAGTCCAAATTTGAAACTCTTTTCTTTATTTTTCCCCAGAAATGCTAAAGTTGGAAAAGTGCCCTTCCTCCATTCCTGTTTTTCTACCTAGTCCCAGCCAGGTGGTTTTTATCTGCAGCAGCAGCCTGAATCATCTGTCACTGAAACAGGTGGAACTCCTTCTGTGCTTCTGAAGCTGCGAGCCACCACCACAGTGTTAATGGATTTAGTATTTCTAATGATGTACTCGGTCAATAAAGCCAATAGGATATCCAAACGCTTACCCTAGAGCAACAAAATTTAGAACACAGAAGCATCACCAAGTTATTATAGCAGTTTAAATTCAAGGTACCAATTTCACTCTGTGGTATTATTTCTCAATCAAAAGCAATGTTCCCAGAACTCTAAGCCACAGTTATATATTGATTTTCTGGCCATAACTCATAGCAAAGAATTAACATTATGGATAAAAGGAATTGTAAAGCAAAGGAAAACAAAATTATAAAGAGAAAATATATTTTTTGATTGTATCCTCTAATTTGTGTTAATTAATACTGGAGCTTCACAGCACACGATTGGCTACCTTAAGTTTAAATACCTCCAATAAATAGGGATCATTTATAACATGATTTTGTCAGAAACTGGAAACTAAAATACCTCTGTATATTGGATATTGAAATATTTGTACTGTAAGCCCCTAAACTTTGCCTCTTAGTCTCAATTCTCTTTTCTTCTACAAATTTCAGAGAAAGCCTTCAGGAACCACTTGAAAAAGGCCTAAGGCAGGGAATCTAGGGATCTGAACCTTTGGCATGGGGCAAAGTTACTTATCCTACCTCTTCTTTAAGCAGGTACATAGGGTTTGGCCTTATTTCAAATTGGAGTTTGAAAATCACTCTTGGAATCTTCTAGTCGGCTTTGGTTTGGGCCTGTTTGGATTTATCTTGTGTAATAATCTTTTTCATCATCTCTGGCTAATCCATTAGAGAGTTATAGATGATTCAAGGCAAAAGTTTAGTCATAATAAAATGGTAATTTTCCTTTTCCTGGGCATATTATTCTTCCAGAAACACTATGAGAAAAAATGGCAAGTTTTGAGCTATTTTTACAGGTAGGTTGTAATGATATTTTAAAGTTACTTTAATATGCCCTACCTTGATGTTCCTAGACTTTATTGCTAGCTACTGCCATATTTTTTAAATTATACAGGAGAACCTCTGTGAGTTGACCACCCAAGAGACTGTAGCAAACTAGTCAACCCATGGAAGTGGTTTAAATAAGGAATTAGGCCTATTGTACTGACATGTACATGTGGTGAATGTCTGGTCTATTATAATTAGGTCAACTTGAGGAGGTTGTCAATTTTTGGAGACGGTCAACTATTGAGGTTCTACTGTGTATATATATATGTATATGTATATATAAACATATTTATATATACTATTTATATTTACATATATAAATATTTTTATATAGTATATATGTACACATACATATACTACTTATAGTGTATATATACTACTTATAGTACATAGATACAAATCTATAGGCATATATTTATATATGTATATATTTATATATAAAAAAACTATTGGTTTTGTCTTTCTTGGCTGAACTTATCCTAGTATTGCTACTTAAATGAAGGTCTTGGGTTATTTTCACTAATCTGGTAAGTATAATATAGCAGATTCTCATGACCCTTTGGCCCTAGATATCTGTTTTTAAATGGTCCTCTGATTTAAGACTTGACTTGAGGACTTTCGAGTCAAGTGGAATATTCAATGGTATTAAAAGAATCATGCCATGTTAAACTAGCCATATAACTCTAATTGACCTTATAAAAATATAATTGCTGCAATATATGCATATCATTACCTCTAACTCTTTCAACATCATTTGAAACTATGGCCCCATGAACTCTCAGATTTCAACTGATTTAAGAATTTAACTCAGTTTTGAATTCTATAGCAAATCTGGATTTTTTTCTCTCTACCTATAATATAGTAGACTTTTTAACCTACACACATTTCTGCAGTTTTCAAGAAAGTACTATCTTGAGCATGGAGCATCAACAGTAAAGATTCTTCCAAGATGACTTAATATAGCTGATAAAGGTTTGCTTAGTCAACCATTATTTATAACTGCAGAAATCAGCTTACTTATTTATGGAAAGGGCATTTCATGTCTACCTTATATTATTTTCAGTGATTGCCAAAAAAATCAATTTGAGTTTTCAATTAGAATAAGCTGTTTATTTTATGTTATCAGATAGGAAATAATTCTATTATTTCTGAAGCTAACTTTTTTTTTTTTTTTTGCAGTTTTTTGCTGGGGTTGGGTTTGAACCCACCACCTCTGGCATATGGGGCCGGCACCCTACTCCTTTGAACCACAGATGCTGCCCAATTCTATTTTTTCTGAAGAATTTTAGTCACTACATACAGAGAAAAAGGATGTTTCCATTACTCCTAATTATATCAATACACTCTAGATATTTATACATATTTTTCAAAACCATAAACACTTTTGACAAAAGCTCTAAAGGGTGAAATATTATCTATGATTTTAAGATCAATAGGATAATATAAAAATAATTTGCATTTTAGAGTCAAGAAGGTGTAAAACTGAATCTTGGCCCTACCATTTTCTAACTATAGAATATTTGGCAAATGACTTTAAATCTTTGAATTTTATTTCCCTCATCTATAATGAATTTTATTTCCCTCACCTATAAAATGGGGTTGATGCTATATATAAATCTTAACTTTCATAGATGCCAGAACAATTATATGGGAAATATCTGATGCTAATAACAAGAAATAGTTTATTCTCCACCTTTTGTAGAATTATATATTATATAATAAGTTTAATATGAGTTAATATTATTTATCAATATTATAATTATTATAACTACTATAATTACTATATTAATGATTATCACATCATTATATTTAGGGCTAAGGGAAATCAGAGGCTGTTGTTATCAAAAGTGTTATCAGAGAGGCAGGCACAGTGGCTCATGCCTGTAATCCTAAAACTCTGGAAAGCTAAGAAGGATGGATTGTTTGAGCTCAGCCTGAGTAAGAGCAAGATCCCATCTGTACTAAAAATAGAAAAATTATCCAGGCATCATGATGGGTACCTGTGTTCCCAGCTCTTTAGGGGGATGAGGGAGGAGGATCATGTGAACCCAGAAGTTCGAGGTTGCTTTGAGGTAGGCTGATACCATGGTACTCTAGCCTGGGTAACAGAATGAGAGTATGTCTCAAAAAAATAAAAAAGTGTCATAAGCCTTGTCAATGACAGTATATGTGATTTTTAAGAATGTGAACTTCGCAGCCTGACTGCCATGATATGAATCTTGGCTTCCCTCTTACACAACGTATGTGCCTGGATAAGTTACTTCATTCTGGGTGTTTTGCTACCATTTTCTGTAAAATTGAAACAATGAAATCATCACAAAACCATTGCATATAAAAACTTATAAGAATCACTGCTACAAAGTAAGTTCAATGTGAGTTATAGCTTCTAATCTTAGAATGTTGTCTAACATCATACAGCTAATAAGAGGAAGAAGAAGATTCTGCCCAAGATTTTTGGTTTTTACTTCAATATAGGAGACATCTGAAAAGAAACACGTTGGTAATAAGGGAATGGGGGAAAGGATTGTTCTCTGGTTAAAAAGCAGGAGAGCACATACATCATTGCTTGGCAGTCTCCACACCTGTGGTGTAAATAGCCACAGAATCACTTCTATAAATAACCACAGTAGAAGTTAGTGGCTCCTACTAGGCTCCTACTAAGACTGACTGCTGTCCCTTTGAGGCGCTGCGGCACTTCTGACCTGACTGAGACCAGGGCTCCCCAGCACTTATGGGGAGCCATACCCCCAGCAAGCTTGTACAGCAGTCTGCATCCTGGCAGTTTCATGGGCCAGGGCTGGAGACCTAGAGTCCCAGCTCCAACAAATGGCCATGGGGATGAGACAGCGGACGCGGACCAAAGGGGAAATAAGCTTTTAGCAAACAAAAGAAAAAGTGAAAGGAGAAATAGATAAGAAACAAAAGGGAAAAGAAGGCTAAGACTCGGGAGTAAGAGAAGCCTTTGGGAAATAAAAAAGGCAAGGGGAAGAAGAAACATATAAGAAATAAAAGAGAGATACGAAATAAAAGAAAGATGTGAGAAAGAAACAAGAGGGACGTTGCTCGAGTAAAGTGGGACCTCTAACAAATCCATAAACAAAGGGAAACTCCGCTAGAAGGAAAGGTGACCTTTTGGCACCAGTCCTTAGTCAAACCAAAGGGGATTCTGCATTAGGAAAGCGGGACCTTTGCTCGTGCTAAAGAGGAGCTCCAAGTAGTAAGTGGACCTTTGGCAAACAGAAAAAAAAGAAAACAAAGGGAAGCACCACTCAGAGTAAGTGGGACCTTTGACCCCCAGAAAAAGATAAATGTAACAAAACGGTAAGAAGTTTGGGAACAGGTTGTAAGAACTCGTTAGTTAGGGAACGAACTTCTAACTGCCTTCCCCAAATCATCGTCCATCGTCAGCAGGAAGCAGTTTGGAAAGGGGGTCACCCCCTGTCTCTTCAAGGCAGTCAGAAGTTCTACATGGAAGGGAAGGACAGAAAAGAAAGGCAGGCCAGAAAGACCTTCGGCAGAAAACAAGTCAGTGGGACCTTCAGAACAGATAGGGAGAAAGAGAAAGGCAGGCCAGAGACCTTCAGCAAAAAGACAGACAGAAAAAAGCAGAGAAAGAAAGCAGGTCAGAGAAAAAAGATTATGGCAATTCAGATAAAAGACCAATTGAATGAACGATCCCCCAGTTAAAACTATCTTAAAATACCCAAAAGTGGGGAATACGGAGGAGACACCTGAAAAGAAGCAGCTTGTTAATAAGGGAATGGGGAAGGGATTGGTCTCTCATTAAAAAGCAGGAGAGCAGGTACATCATTGCTTGGCGGTCTCCACACCTGTGGTGTAAATGGCCACGGGAGAAGTTAGTGGAAGCTCGTATAGGCTCCTGCTAAGACTGACAGCTGCACCTTTGAGGCACTCCGGCACCTCTGACCTGACGAGACAACTGGCTCCTCCTGCCGGGGAGCCTTACCTGACTGAGACAGTGGGCTCCCGCCACTTATGGGGAGCCACATCCCCAGCGAGCTTGTACAGCCGTCCGTGTCCTGGCGATTTCACAGGCTGGGGTCGGCAACCTAACATCCCAGCTCCAACACTTCAAGTCGCTTTCCCCACCAACTCCATACCTGGAATTTTATGTAAATATGAATGAATGTAATAAGGATTTTCTAATATTCATACATAATTATGTGAAACAGAACATTCAATAGGTTTATTTTCCTTACCAAAGTGGGTTGATAATAAACTATAAAGATTCCCAAGCAGAGGCCCAGGCTGAGTTACGATCATTGATTCTCATAACTGTCTTGCCTGCAAAGTTACAGGCACTGACTGAATGCCCACTAACTTCTGCCTGATTCGACTACGGGCTGTTGCTGTGGACCTGGGATCACTGACACTGTAAATCTCTGGCTAAAATCCACTTTGTTGGCATTCTAGATTTCCAAAGAGGCCCTACCCAATATGAAAGCAAATGCAGTCATATTTATAAGCATAAGTAAATAATTAATGATAGGTCTATTGGGGCAGGAATTAAATCAAGAAGGATTATAACAAGTGATAAATATAACAGATTCACTTTTTGAAGTTGCATGTCTTCTTTTATTCCAACATGAGTTTTGCCAAAAAGTCCATGGGAATGGTCATCAGGATATGAAATTGTAATCAAAGGCATTGAAATAGTTTAAAATTGTAGTAAAGTTTAAGATGTGATTTCACTTGGAAAATACATCCTTTGTTTATGAGATAAAAGGGTAATGTTTTTACCACTTTTTAAAAAGACTTTTACCTATTCACTATTCTTTTAAAATAACATTTTCTGAGTACAGCAGGGAAAAGCTCTTCTTCAAGAGTTTTCAGAACATTGCTGATTCTTTCTGGATATTTTCAAACTTTGCCAAGAATGTATACAATAAAACCTTCCAAATGCCAAATGCCTTGAATAATGTCAGGAAATAACTTGTCGGATTGATAAAATTTTTTATCCATCTTCTAAGTCAGCACAAATAGAAAGCTATACCCTGAAAATTATACTGAAACAAACTAGGAGGAAAAATAAGCCCACTCTTTTTCAGAGACGATGTAGACTTTGAGGCCAACCAAGACAGTGTTTCATAAGCTTCATGGGATTCTACATAAGTGATACAGATAGATTTTGTGTGAATATGGCTGCATGGCCCTGGCTAAGTTTTACTCTGAGGGATGGAAATATCATTAAAGAAAGGTAAATACGGGAAACTTACATAGTGGCAAGAAGTGATTATTGAAGAGAGCACTTAGAATTTGTTTTATAGATTCCTTAAAAAAGATATGTTAGTCAAAATGCATAATAAAATTTCTTCAAGTGATTTTTTTTATCTGTTTAGTTATTTCCTATAAGTACTTTTTATTTAAATATAAAAGAGAATACATGGTTTTCTGGGATGTAAGATTCATAGATATGAAATAGACATTAGCAGTTATTTCTTCCCATTTTTGATAGCCTCTCAGCAAGGTGGTGGTTAAGCCTCTGCTGGAAACTATGAAAATAATAACTACCATTTACTAAGTGATCATTTGTGCTTGGTACTCCTGCTAAGTACCTCACAAGTATCAATTATCCTACTTAATCATCACAATAACCTTATGAAGAGGACATTAATATTGTCATTTTTAAGAAAAATTAGGTGTAGAGCATTACTATTTTGTTCAAGGTCAAATCACTAAAAAGAGGTGTTGTAAAATATGAACTCAGGCTCATTTGCTTCCAGAGTATGTGCTCTTAACACCTATGCTATGCTACTTGAGTTTTGTGGCTGGACAACTTTAGTTCTTAGAAATCTTTTCTTGTGTTAAGAATGCAAAAACATGCATTCCTGTGAATTTCAGAGGATACTTAGTACTTTACCTGTTTTTAAAATAAGGCAAGACAGCAATAATATCTCCTAGGTTTTTGTTTTTGTTTTTGTTTTTTTAGTATTTCAGATACAAATCTAAACTTATCTTTGAAAGGAAAAAAGATTATGGAGTCATGAGGAGGCAGAGAAAAATTCATGAAAGTTCTCTTTCTACCTCATCAATCTGCCATGTTACCTACATTTTTTCCATCATGTTGGACTAAGAAATCATCTCCAGAAGTCCCCAGTGAGATCACACTATACTTGTGGTAGGAAAAATAATTGTACATCAGCATGGATAAGTTTTTCCATCAGTTGTTTCTATCAGAGACCTAGGAATGGATGGGATAGTACAGGTATGTGCTAATGGATCTATACAGGAAGAGACTCTGAAAATAGAATACTTTCAGGTATACATCAGGTATAAAATAAGTAACAATTTGATGACACCCTCAACCAATCTTCTCCTCAAAATACTTTTCTTCAAGGTACTATAATAATATAAATTTTCCAATACTACTTAATTGCTCTGGGTTTATCATTTACTCACTTACCACATTTTTTCCAGATTAATATGAGGATGTAGATGATTAGGGTACACTGTGTTTGTTAGGTAGAGTGCAAGTTGTAGTAGTGTCCCTCACCCAGGATGTGTGCCATATATCCTTACCTGTACCTGTTAGATGACAGCACAGCAATCTCCTTCCCTCTTTCCTTCTCTCCACCCCTCTTTTCTCTCCCCCTACTCAAGTTCAATTGTGTTTTTCTCTTGTTCATCTACTGGTTTCATGTTAGTACTGAGTACCTTGGATATTTGCTTTTCCATTCTTGGGATACTTTACTAAGTAGAATGTTCTCCATCCAGGTTAATATAAAATATGTGACCTGTCCATCTTTTTATGGCTGAATAGCGTTCCATGGTATACATATACCACAGTTTGTTAATCTATTCATGGATTGATGACCACTTGGATTGATTCTACATCTTGGCATTTATGAATTGAGCTGTGACAAACATTCTAGTGCAAATGTCCTTATAGTAAAATATTTTTTCTCTTCTGGGTAGTTATCTAGTAATCGGATTGTGGGATCAAATGAAAGGCCTACTTCTTTTCATAGATGTTGCAATCCCACCAATAAAAATGTTCCCTTCAACTCTGCATTCTCTCCAGCATCTGCAGCTTTGGGACTTTGTGATATGGCCTGTCCTCACTGAGGTTAGGTAATATCTCAGGGTGGTTTTGATTTGCATTTCTCTGATGATTAGGGATGGTCTGAACATTTTTTGACATGTTTCTTAGCCACTTTCCTTATCTTCCTCAGGGAAAGTTCTGTTTATAACTCTTGCACAGTGATAAACAAGATTGTGTCCCTTTTTTATTGATTAATTTGAGTTCTTTATAGATTCTGGTTATCAACTCTTTGTCAGATTCATAGCATGCAAATTTCCCATCCCATTCCGAAGGCTTCTGTTTGCTTTAGTTGTTGTATCCTTAGCTGTACAAAAGCTTTTTAGTTTATTAAGTCATGATTATTTGTTGTTGTTGTTGTTATTGTTATTGCCAATGGAGTGTTCCTCATAAAATCTCTACCCAGGCTGACATCATCAAGAGTTTTCTCATACTTTCTTCTCTGATTGTTATCATTTCACGTCTTCAATGTATATGTATATGTATATACATCTATTTGTATGTATATGTATATATTTTCAATTTTTGTAAGTGATGAGAGATGTGAGTCTGGCTTCAGTCTTTTACATGTAGTTATCCAGTTCTCTCAGCACTGTTTGTTTAATTAAGGATTCTTTTCCCCAGTGTATTCTTTGGTTTGATTTATGGAAGATCAGATGGTGATAAGAGGCTGGCAAAATTTTATATTGAAATACAAATGCTCCCAACAAGGTGTGACTTAATTTAACAGATTCCATTATTTACCTATGAGTAGGTAGCTGGGAAGGGAGGGAAAGACATTAAAGAGACACGTGGTGCTCCAATCACAGCAGGCGTCTGGATTATCTGGAGAACCAGGCAACACTCCCTGAGTTCCTGGCTCAATGAACTTGGAGGTGGGGGCCTAAGGATTTGCATTTCTAAAAGTTCACAGATGGTGATGATGTTGTTGGTTCCAGGACTACATTTTGAGAACAACAGGGCTAAGGAGCAGTATAGAGAAGGGAATGGAGAAGTAATAAGAAGGAAAATGTGTACTGTGGCCTAACCTACCTCAGCAGGTAGAACACACACATTAGATGCACGATGATCATTCCATAGCCTTGGTCATTTTACAGATAAGAAAAATGCACACAGAAGCTCAAAGTGGGGTATCCTGTTGCTGAATACGGTGAGCTATTATGAAAGTTTTCTGACTCAGCTTTGCACTTTAGTCATGAACAGAGTCTTTCAAATTTGAGGTCCTAAGAACCATCTGAGGAGCTTATGAAAAGTATAGATACCTAGACTTCATTCTGGATTCAGAGCCCAGACAATCTGCATTTTAATAAATTCTCTTGGTCATTCAGATATGGACTAGGAGGCCAATACTTAGAATAAGGGAAAAATCCTTTGAGGTGCTAGAGAAGTCTCATATAGAAGAAGCAGAGATCTACCCAAACACAAGGCCAAGCTATGGTGTATAAGATGAACTGAGGTAAAGGGGATGAATTGGGCACTTCTTTACCATCCAACAAAATTGTTCAAAACAAATACTGACTGTGACACAGGAAACCAACTCAATACATTTGTCAGAACACCCACACTCCTTATATAGAAGGGTACAAATTTATAAAGTGGGTGACCACAGAAGACACACATCTAATTGCCACCTGGCAGAAGCCAGCTCTACCCTGAGACTGCTCTTGCCCTCTACATGGAAACATGGAAGGATAATTTCAATCTATGTAAGCATTTGTGCGTCATCCCATAGGAGCTTGTTTCCATTGCCCCCTATAGTACAAATGGGGAGTCCAATGGGAAAAGGAAAAGACAAATTAGGGCCTGCTGAGATTTTCCTTTATTTTTTTATTTTCTCTAACTATAATATTTTACTCTTATTCTTAATTAAGAAAATATTTCTTATCAATTTTTCATTTCTCTATTGCTACTTTGTCTACCCTTATGTGTGGGAGCTTAGGATGAAAGCAATTGTCTCCATCATAGGGGCATATCATGAAATTCCCTTGACCATCCCATTATTTTTGTAGAGACAGCATTAAAATAAAAATATTTTTAACTTTTATAAAGTTCCTTATCTTCATAAGGAAAGAATAAAAAAACTATCAAATTTTTTTGATAAGTAAATTTATATTTTTTAAAGGCATGAAAATGAAAAATATCTTTTTGTGAGCAGTTAAAGTAGCCTCTGAAAACCTGTCAGAAGTCATCTCACTATATATAGCACACATTAGATTGGAATAAAGGTCAAATCAATTCCTTTATGAATGCATATTCCACTTTAGCTCCGGGAAAATGATGTATCCCTGCAAATCATTTTCTGTGTGCTTTCTATTATAAGAAAATAACTCCTAAATGACAAAAATTACTTTTCCCAACTCCTTGTAGACTCCTTCATTGAATAAAGCCAAAAAGTGCTTTAATGGCTTTTAAGGTATCCATGATTGACCTCTTTTTTCCCTATTTCAAATTGATCTTTATAACCCCAAGCTAAGAACAGCTCTTCTCACTCCCTCCTACTCCTCTACACTTACAATCTTACCTTTCCTAATCACAGTTAGATTACCATGAACCTGATGAACTTGATATGCCAAGGTCACTTACTCATATGGGCCCTTGAATGTTAGAAGTTGCCAGGAGTTTTGAGGGTTCTGTGTGAAGGCCTGAAAGTCTGGTTGCACTCAGAAAACATTACTATATAATTATTTTTGAGAAATTTCCTAAGGATATCCCAGAAGGAAAATATTGAATCTACAAGGTTCCAGTGATTTGATGGGATTTCATCATTCATTTTAAATTTGTGTTTACATTTGCATGTAATTTTATACTCAAATGTGATTTTTTTCTTAAAAAGGGCCATAAATTATATATGTTTTAGGCCCACAATACATGACCTACTCCTAAAATGTTATCCTTTAATTGTCGTTGTTCTTTTGATAAAGCTATTTCTGAAATACCTGCCCTCTTTCCCCTATCTCTCTGTATAAAAATATCATCCATTCTTTGATTATTTTAGCTCAAATGCTATAAACTCCTCAACTGTCCAATACCTTCATCAATGTAAATCTTATTGATATAGTAACTATATTTCATCTTTGTTGAATCATAAATCCTTCTGTGTCTAAAATCATCCATTACTAGTTACATATATTTAAGATAAATATCATATTTGATATCTCCTAGTTCTAAGTAACCAAGGAAGTATTTCAGCTGAGGAATTCTAAACCCTGTAGTATCCCTGCAATGATATAACCCATACTCCTAACCTGTGTTCCCTATGATCAAAATGTCCTGTGTAAAGATGGCACAAAGAAAAGTTACAACGGGTTGTAAATGTTACTTCCATTAGCTGGGATGTCATTCAATCACAGACTCTTACCTCCAGCCAAGCTTCAAAAATATGTGTTTAAAGTCTTGATGAGACTTCATTTCTCTTTGAGACTACAGAATGAAAGTCCAGCTAAAGTGAACTAAAAATATAAGCAGGCTAGAATTAGTTCCAAAAAGAAGAGAAAAATATGTATAGCAATGCTTGATAAAGGGGCTAATGAGAAAGTAAACTTGTTCTTCACTTCTAAAAATGATTAGTATTTGATGGAACACTACCAGAGAAAGATGTCTCTAAGAACAAGAATTGCACAAAATCAATAATCATGCCCAGAGGAGGACTAGAGTCACTGTTCACATTGGTGTGTAGTATAAACTCATACCCAGTGGATAAAATAAGCCTGTTTTTTGGAGAGTTTTAAAAGAAAACAGCAGTAATTACCTCAATGAATTAAATGTGAAAAATTACACCTCTAGAGAAAGAAATGGATCCAGAGGCAATATTAGCTTAATTATACTGTTAGAAATTATCATAAAACTTTAATTTTATTGATCATTACAACATATTGGGCACTCTTCTCAGTGTTTTACAAGAAAAAAAAACATTGAATTTTTTTCCATTGAAAAATCCTATGGATAAAGCCCTGTTATTATCACTATTTTACAAATTAGAAAACAAACCGCATAGACCCAGCATCACTTAACCAGTAAGCAAGGCAAACAATTAAAATGACTATATATATATAAATATATATATGAGTAGGAGTTAAGAAAACTGAAGGTAGTCTCAATATTGTTACAACTTGGTGCAATACTATACAACTTGCTGAACCTATATAAACTTTGTCTGTCTTACTATGTGTTGAGGCTAGAATCACTATGTGATGAATTAAGTCTAACCAAACTACATCAAACTGTTAGTCTTCCTTTTGGGGACTATTTTCATCACATTCATTTGCAAAAGATACTTTGAATAACATTTCCATCTTTCAAGAACACAAACACTCAGGGAAAATATAGACAATCACAAAACCGGACCTGCTTCACAACCAGACTGACCTGGGTTAATTCCTAATGGTGTGTCATTGACTTTAAATGCAATTCTGTGATTAATTTTTGGTTAATGCAGCCTTCCCTTGCTTCTTTTATACATATACAACAACCAATGGGAGATAGAAATTCAGGGGTAGGGGTGACAAATTTACAATCAGAATAATAGTTCATTATACATATAGTTTATTAAGCATTAATACTGTATTGGGAACTTGATATGTAATATCTTGTTAAATAATCAGAATGGTTCTTCAAGGTAATTTTAGCATCTTCATTTTGCACTCAGGGAAACAGGCCTACAGGTGAATTTGCCTACAGTCACTGCTATACACTGAATTTTGTCCTCATCAAATCTGTAAGTTGCAGCTGTAACCCCCATGTGACTGCAGCTGGAGGCAGGGTTCTTAAGATGTTAACACTAAATGAAGTCATAAGGGTAGGTGTGCAAACAGGAAAGGCCCTATGAGGATGCAGTGAGTAGGTGGCAATGAGCAAACCAAAAAGAGAGGTCTCGCCCGACAACCCTGCCTGAACAGATATTGGACTTCTAACCCACAGAACTATGAACAAATGAATTTCTGTTGTTAAGACACCACAATTCTAGGATTTTGGCATAGCAGTCCTAAAAGACTAATACAGTCACACAGATAATCAACAATGGAAACACTGGGGTTACATTGAACTCAGGCACTTTTGAATTCAAGCCCATATTCCTACCTCAAGTTCATGCTGAAAGAATGGTTCAGCTTTCTGCATAGTGATAGCCCAAGCTCAATTTATGAAGACCCCTTGGCAACTGCAGCAGCAGCAAAATAAGTTAATGGGAGGTGACCATGCTGAAAAGCTTCTGCACAGCTAAAAATAACACAACTAAAGCAATCATACACTCTTCAGAATGGGAGAAGATATTTGTATGCTATGAATCTGACAAAGGGCTGATAACTAGAATCTACAGATTAGTCAAATTAATCAGCAAGAAAAGAGCAAACAATCCCATTTATAAGTGGGGAAAAGACTTGAACAGAAACTTCTCTGAAGATGACAGATGAATAGGCAACAAGCACATGAAAAAATTCTCATTGTCCCTAATTATCAGAGAAATGCAAATCAAAACCACCGTGAGATATCACCTAACCCCAGTGAGATTAGCCCACATCACAAAATCCCAAAGCTGCAGGTGCTAGCACGAGCGTGGGGAGTAGGGAATACTTTTGCACTGCTGGGGGAACTGCAAACTAATACAACCTCTATAGACAGAAGTATGGAGAATCTTCAAAGAACTGAAAGTAGACCTTCCATTTGATCACATAATCCTGTTACTAGGTAACTAACTACTCAGAAGAAAAAAAAATTCTTACCATAAAGACATTTAC